GTCCAAAAAGGGAACTAAACCTTTTAAATCTAAAGTCAGTTTTCTTCAAGTAGGCAAGGGGGAAAAAAAAAAAAGACTATAAACTAAAAGGAAAAGGACTAGTCAGGTATCATTACTCAACATATAAAGAACTTTGATCAATTAAGAAATGAAACAAAGGCAAGCATGATATAATCCCAGCACTCAGGAGACAGGTGGATCTCTGTGAGTTTGAGGCCAGCCTGGTCTACAGAACAAGTTCCAGGACAATCAGAGCTGCTGTTACAGAGAGAAATCCTGTATAGAAAAACTGTGCGACCACACACACACACACACACACACACACACACACACACACACGCGGAGGGAATAAAACAGTAATGCTAGGGACTGGAGGAACACACACCTAGAAGAGGCTGGAGACAGAAAAATGGCTTAAACCCAACCTAAGTTTAAGGCCAACTTAGGTTAACATAATGAAGAAAGGAGAGAAGAAATGGTCTCCAGCTGTTGCTCAGCTTACTAGCATGTGAAAAGCCCTGGACTCTATCTCTAGCACCGTATTTTGAAAAACCATGACATTAAGAGAAACAGTGTAAAATTAACTAAGCATGGGTTAGCATCAGAGTCCGAGTTTCAGATACCCAGTTATAAGGACACTTGCCCTCAAACAGGCTACACTGTCCTCCCCTTACACATGTAACTGCCACCAGAAGACACCAGCTCTTTGTGATTAAAGTGCTGGAAAGCCTCCAAATATCAGGTATCATACCAGCTTCCAATTAAGTTGTTGACAAAATAACTCTCAGCTTCCCAATTAAAAAAAAAAAAGCAAACTAGACCTGAGAGACCTGTGACATTTTTAATAACGCAAAGCAATGCCCATGACGCAGGCCACTTGTCACATGGGGGGGGTCATCAGACTCTAGAAAGGTTCAATTTAAAGGGGGGGGGAACCAAAGATGACAATAAAGCACTGTTCCACAAAAGTTAGTAATGAAGAAAAGAACCTGCCACTGCTTAGTATTAATATAGCCACAGCCCAGGCTTGAAATACAGTTCTGAGGGGGATCTGCACACATGTTGTACACATACACACACCACACTCAAACAACACGCATAAAGTTAAATATTTTTAAAAAGGGAGGGGGGCAGGCTAGAGAGATCGCTCATAGGTTAAGAGGACACTGGCTCAATTCCCAGCACCCACATGGTAACTCATAATGTCTCTAACTCCAGTTCTAGGGGGTCTGCAATCTTCACATCAAAGCATAAACAAACAAATAAATAGGAAGAAAACCTGAGTTATGGGTCTGGTGGGAGGGTTCAGCAGTTAAGAGCACTTCCTGCTCTTCTAAAGGACCTGTGTTCAAGTCCTAGCACCTAATCACCATATGGCTGACAACCACCTGGTTCCAGTCCCAAGGGATCTGACACCCTCTTCTGACTTCTGTAGATCACACATAAATATTTCAAAATCTGTGTATTTTTTTTATTTCCCCCTTAAGAAATATAGCTATGAGTTCCAGGACTATGCTGTAATCTGGAAGTTTGTCAAAACCTTAAAAAAAAACTGTTTCTGACTCTTGGAACCTAAAAGCATGAGGAGTTCAAAGTCCAGCTAACAATTCAGTCTTTTAAATGCCACTCTTGATAAGAAAGTATTGATCTTAAAATAAAATACCTTTCAAATGAATTGATAAACCACATCAACACCCTCCAGGCACAAAAACAATTCAGCCACCAGGGCTTTATGGTAACCCCAAACTATCCCCCAAAATGTTGAAACCAATCCACCTCTGCATGCACATGAAACCAACTGGAGGACATGCCATTACTGCTCCAAATCCTAACTCTTCCTCTCTAGATTCTTAAAATCAGTCTCCTAATTCTAAGTATTGTTCAAATGTGCCTCCTTCGCACAGACATAAAGCAAAACTAAAAAGCCAGAACCTTTCAAAAGTTTGTTATCTTTACTGAAAGAACTGAAACAAGAGGGGAAGCTTAACCCAAATTCTGTCCCTGCTGCTTTCTTTCTCTGGATTTTCCTCGATCAAGTGCAATTCAATGTGACCTTGTGTTGCTCCAATAAAAATCAGAATTAAAAAGAAGACAAAGTCTTCAGAGAAATGATTTTGTTTGTTGTATTCTCAAGACAGGGTTTCTCTAACAGTCCTGGCTGTCTTGGAACAACTCACTCTGTAGACCAGGCTGGCCTCGAACTCAGAGATCCACCTGCCTCTGCCTCCCAAGTGATGGGATTAAAGGCTTGCGCCACCGCCACCATGCACAGAAAGGATTTCACAACAGACTCAAGAGTCTTAAATACTACAAATGAAAACGAACTATTATTTCCCCCTCCAATCACCATTCTCCATTTTATAAAATTCATTACCTATTTCCTGCACTGTTCCTGAACGTTTCATAAAAAAAGGTTGAGGGTCAGTGGATGTGACTTAGAGAGTAAAAAAGCCCTTGTCACCTGACTTGTTAGGCCTGGCCACCTAAATTCAATCCCTGTGACCCACGTGATAGGAGAGAACAAATTCCCCCAAGCTGTCCTCTAATCTCCATGTGCATGCTGCAGCACACAGGCACAGATACAAAGTAAATAAATGAATAAACATAAAAATTGTTGCTGAAGAAATGCATCACCCATCCTTATCAGCCAGCAAAGTTTTCTATCCCAAACCCTTTCTCTACTCATCCAATTTCTTCCTAATAGCCTTGTGTTGAGCTGCCAATCACCAAAAGAGAGTGGTTCACCTTGAAACTCTGTGTTGTCAAGGCCTCTGATGGCCTCCACTGCATCCTCTGCCCGCTCCATGTGTACAAAGGCATAATCTTTCACGATGTCACATTCAATGACTGGGCCATACTCCTCAAACTTGGCCCGAAGCTCTTGGTTGGTACAAGTGGGACTGATGTTGCCCACATGTAACTTGGTTGAAGCTTTGCTCTTATTCTTGCTGGCTTCCACATTGATGTTCACTCCGTGCAGTTTGTAGAGATGAAGGTTGCGTATGGCATCCTCAGCGGCCGTCTTGTCCTCTATGTGCACAAAGCCATAGTTCTTAATGATGTCACATTCCAGCACCTTCCCGTACTGCTAGAAGAGTGAGCGGATCTCTTGCTCTGTGGCCTCCCGGGGCAGATTTCCAATGAACAGCTTCACCATTTCCACACAGCCTGCAAGTAAAAAGACAAAGTTTTTAAGGTAAGAACTAAGTCCACAGCAACTATTAAAAAATAAATAAAACTACTATCACCTCCTTTTACTCTAGCATATAGTTCCAAAAATTTTATCTTATGGGTGTGCCCTGTCACATCTCCAAACAATAACCAACAAGGGAGTTCAACAAGAGAGCCTGCTTTACTCCCCACAAGAACTTCTATTAAAGAGGTCTCTAACAGGACAGTCTTTTGTAGACAAAGGGAATTTTGTGGTGTTGGGCATCAAACCTACAGTGACGTAGGTTATAGGCCAATGCTCTGCCACTGAGTAGACCCTTTGCCCCAGACAAAGGAAAAACAGGGCTGGAAGTTTTGAGAATAAATTAAAAGCTACATATACTGAGCATTTCAGCCCACCGTGATAGCCACTAGAAAATAAGATTTTAAGCCAGGCAGTGGTGGCATACACCCTAAGCACAGCACTCAGGAGCACAAGTGGATCTGAGTTCTAGGTCAGCCTGATCTACAGAGCGAGTTCCAGGATGGGCTCCAAAGCTAAAGAGAAACCTTATCCCCCCCAAAAAAAAAAAAACTAAAAAATAAATAAATAAATAAATAAATAAATAAATAGAGCCGGGCGGTGGTTGCGCACACCTTTAATCCCAGCACTTGGGAGGCAGAGGCAGGCGGATCTTTGTGAGTTCGAGACCAGCCTGGTCTACAAGAGCTAGTTCCAGGACAGGTTCCAAAACCACAGAGAAACCCTGTCTCGAAAAAGCAAAAAAAAAAAATAAGTAAATAAATAAAAATTAAAAAAAAAAAGAAACAAGATTCTAAATACTAGACTTGCTAATTAGCTCTTCCTCTCTTAGCAACCATTTCCGGAAACGTGGGCCTTGAAGTAGCTGGGTTTATGAGTTTCCTTTGGAATAGCGAACACTGGAATCAACCAGATAATAAGTATGGGAAATACAGAAAGTGCCCGAGTAGGAGAGATCTTGAGGGGGCGCGCGCGCATCTTTACTATGTAGCTCCTACGAAAAGAAAAACTGGCCGAGCGGTGGTGGTGCACGCCTTTAATCCTAGCACTTGGGAGACAGAGGCTAGTCTGTTCTACAAAGTTCCAGGACAGCTAGAGCTGTTACAGAGAAGCGCAACAGAAACAAAAAAGAAAAAAAAAAAAAGGAAGGAGGGAAAAAAAGAAAAGAAAAACTGCCTGGTCAAAGATGGGTGCTATATATTGTTTAATGAGGCAACACGGCCCTGGGGCATGAGAGAGTCTCATGTCTAAATCTAAGAGTTAACTAGGCATAAACCCCCAAATAGGAAAATCAGCAAAGCAGAGGATAAAGGGGACAAAAGGAAGGTATTCCAGGGACTGCGGGGTGGGGACTTGGGGGAGGGCTGCTTCAGGCTTACCGCACAAAGTCGAGGACCGAGGTCGGCTCTCAGTGACGGCTACGCAGGCCGCGACCCCACTAGGGCAGCCCTGACGTCCAAGGGAGTCAGGGAAGTTTTAATAAGGAACACAGAAGGATTTGGAGTCTCTCACCACATGGAAATCTGCAGATCCTCCTCCTCCTCGCAGCGCGGACGGTTCTGACAAAATGCTAAAATGGCGGCGGCCACAGCAGTGACTCTGGGTAGAAAGGGGGAGTGAACCTACCACCGGATTGGACGTTCGGTAAAGTAAAAGGCTGGCGTTCCCGGAGATCCTCTTCCTGATTGGTTACCGCGAACGCCAATTACCTGAGAGGCCAGGAAGAGGTGGAAACGTCAGTAATCCGGAGCTTTTATACGAAAGCCAATGAGTACTCAGCCTAGTGAAAGCGAAGCCACTGATTGGGCAGGAGGTTCATGTGAGGGAGGAGCCACAAACGTGGGTTTCTTCGAAGTGCGACCCGCCATTAGGCAGACTAAGCGATAGTCTCAGTGTGGCAGTCAGTAGCTTCATGGCCCTAACTTGGTTAAACTTTCACATTCCACCACTTCCACGTGCACGCTCTGACTGTATTCAGTCCTCTATTCCAAGATTTCGCACCCTCCAATTGACTACACCCCGCAGTTTACACAGACCTCCGTCCAGCCTACACAGACCACACGCAATAAATAGCCGAGCACCCGCCCTTACTTAAAAATCAACCGCAGCCTTGGGCAATTTCCACTTTGGCCCTCCTGAGTGCCATAGCTACCCAGGAATTAAAACTAGGTAGTTGAAAAACTCTTAAAACAGTCCGTAGATCCAGCTTCAATTACGGTGTAATGGCCCAGAAATGAGCCGGCCAGAAACCTAGGAGGCACTGGGATAAATGATCCCTCTAGCCTCCCACCACCCAAAATGTTGTGTAAACATAAAAGTTGACCCCCACCCCAACCTCACCCCCAAAAGGAAAAAAAAAAAAGCAACAAAAACAAAAGCAAAAAACAGGAACGGCAAAAGTTTGGTTTGGTTTTGTTTTATTGGGTGCCATTAGCCAGAGCTGTTAAGTTTAAACTCCCTAGAACTGACCTTAGGAGAAAAGGCTTTGTCACAATGAGCTGCAAACAAGTACAAACGACATTCTTCACAGGATCCAATGCCCTCATCACATTTTTCTCACCCACTGGTTGCTTCACATAATCCCATACTCAGTGAGCAAGCAACTTTAGTCACGACCGTTGCAAAGCAGCTTTTGAAGATGGGGATAAAAGGGGAAAGGTGCTTAATGGATAACTTGAACATGAACAGGCAGAAAGCAGGGCAACTTCATGAAAACAGGATGATGGGGAAAGGAAGAACAAACAGCATACTGCCACCCAAACCGGCGGGGGGGGGGGGGGGGGGGGGGNGACTAAAACAAAAAAGACAGAAAATAAGCCTAACTCAGAGACAGAAAACTAGCCAATAATTTAAGTATGGGAAAAGGTATTTTTTTTTTTAAAGTTAAAACCTAGGCAGTTGTGGCGCACACTTTTCACCCTAGCATTTAGGAAGCAGAGGCAGGCGGAACTCTGAGTTCCAGGTCAGTTTGTTCTACAGAGTTCCAGGACATCCAGAAAAACCCTGTCTCACAAAGCAAAACTCTTCTGAGTTCAAAGCCAGTCTGGTCTATATGGCGAGTTTCAGGACACCAGGACAGGCTCCAAAGTTACAGAAAACCCTGTCTCAAAACCCCCACCCCCCATGTGAAAATATGACATTAAATATGGCCACGTTTCATTTCACTCTGATGCACCTGAGTCTGAGTAAAGGCAACCTGAGATCAGTAATCAATACAACCAGTTCTACCACCCTGGACCTTTCTGAGGAGGTCTAATACTACATTATCACAACTCAATATGCATCCAGAAACACATATAGTATAGAAATTCTTTTCTCTCAGTTCAATCTTCTAAATTTTCTTATGCCGAAATCCCTGAAAAATACCTGCAATAGCATACAAGACCAATTCATTCACTAAATTAGAATCTCTACAGGTTCAAAGGTAGAGACTAGGTAACAATTCAAAGGATCACAATTCATGCCAGTGTGCAGACATCAAAACCACCAACCAACCTCCAAATCAAAATCATGTCCTTGGTTGTTAAAATCTACTACAGCTGAACAGGCAATACCAGCACATAAGAGGGAGAAGCAATTAGTCTCTGTGAGTTCAATGCCAGCCTGGTCTACATAGCAAGTTCCAGGTTAGTCAAGCCTACATAGTTTGAGTCTGCCTAGAAGAAAAACGGGAGTGAGGGGCATATTCCAATTTCTTTATGGACTAACAAACTACCCAACCAGGTTTTCGCTACAGTCTCAGTCTGCTTGATCACCACCAAATAAAGACTGGTTTTTTAATTCTCTATTCAGATCTTTTACTGGCCGCTCTTTCCCCACCCCACCCCACCCCCGAGACAGGGTTTCTCTGTGGCTTTGGAGCCTGTCTTGGAACTAGCTCTGTAGACCAGGATGGCCTCGAACTCACAGAGATCCGCCTGCCTCTGCTGGGATTAAAGGTGTGCGCCACCACCACCCGGTTTACTGGCCGCTCCATCTAAAGGCACAGACCCTGACTTGTAACTGATCACTTCATACTACTTTTGCAAATAATTACAATTACTTGAAATTCTATCTTGATCATTTTCCATATTATATGCCCTCAATGCTGGAACTACTTTGGTAACATGAAAGACCCTCAAATATTTATTGACTAAGAAAAGAATGCAGGCCAGAATCAGAGGCAGAAGAACTGTGAGTTCAAGGCCAACCTGGTCCACAAGTCTACAAGAGCTAGTTCCATGACAGCTAGGACTGTCTCAAAAAAAGAGACACCCTGTCTCAAAAAGAGACCCTGTCTCAAAAAAAAAAAAAAAAAAAAAAAAAAAAAAAAAAAAAAAAAAAAAAAAAAAAGAAAGGAAAGGAAAAAAACTAATGCATGAGAAAACTTTTTGATATCTGAGGAAGGAAGTGATTGGATTCAGTTCATGTTATACTGGCTTGCTGGCTAGAGGTATATGCTCAATGATAAGCGTCCTTACTTTAGAATCCCAGTACTTCAGCAAGGCAGTGGTGGCACACACCTTTAAACCCAGTACTTGGGAGGCAGAAGCAGGTAGGTCTCTGTGAGTTCGAGGTCAGCCTGGTCTACAGAGTGAGTTCCAGGACAGCCAGGGCTATTGCACAGAAGAATCCCAGTACTTGAAGGAAAAGTTATCTGTGCTCATCATCACCAGAACGACGTTTCAATCTTCTTCAAAACAAAATCTGATCATCAAGTCAGAGGTGGCTTTTCATCATGACGTTGACAATAGCAAAACGAAGCCTTCAGTAACGAGGTTAACTATAGACCAAGTGTTCACACTGATGTCTATTTGCTCACAGCTCTAGGAACTTGGTATTCCCCTTACAGAAAGTTACAGCACCAATTTCAAACCCTCTACCTTAACTATAATCCCACCTACAGAAGCACTTTTACTGTCTTCTATTTTTAAATCATCTTGTCTGCCAGGGCTAGGTATGTAGCACAATCATAGAACGCCTGCCTAGCAAGGAGGACCTGGGTTCACTCCCCAGCAACATAACTAAAAACTCTTAAATACCTCAGCCTTTTTTTTTCCTTTTTGGTTTGTCGAGACAGAGTTTCTCTGTGTAACTCTGGCCGTCCCAGAACTCACTTTGTAGACCAGGCCGACCTCAAGAGATCCACCTGCCTTTGTCTCCCTGAGTGCTGGGACTAAAGGCGTGTGCCACCACCACCCAGCTGCCTTAGCCTATCTAGAACTAGAAATATAGCCACAAGCCAACACGTCCATCTAATAATTTACACTCCTAATAAATAACTGGCCCCTAGTCCAAAACTGAGTCACAAGTTTGACAAAGGCTCAAATTAAAACCCAGTATCAAGGATGTTCACAGGGAGCCAACAGGCTAATAACCAAGTGTGCCCACTCCAAACCCACTGGCTAACTATATTATTTCTACTCCTTTCCATTCAAGATGTCCCTCGTGGGGAAGGGAAAGGGGAGGCGGCGGTGGGGAAGAGACAGAAATCTTTAATTAATAAATTAATTAATTTAAAAAAAGATGTCCCTTGTACTGCAAACTATTTTTTCATAAGCAAAAGAAAAGTCATCCTAAGACACAAAATGGTGTCACCAGAGATGGGGGGGGTCGTCCATATTGGTGTAGTCTAGTAGGTTGTCATTGCTATGCTGCTATGCAGCACTCACAGCAAAAACTCAGATGACTCCTATGTGTTGCATTCAAACCTATATTCCAAGTCCTTTGCAAAACTACGTGTTTCACCAGGTCAGCTCAGTGTCCCCTGACTCTATTGTCTCATTCCTAAGATGAATTTCTTTTTACATGTATGAGTCTGAGCCTGTGAGAATTTATGTGCACCATGTACAGGACCCACACAGGACATTGGATGCTATGCTTCTCTAGAACTAGAGTTAAGGGTTGTTATGAACCGCCAAGTAGGTTCTGAGAACCAAACCCAGGACCCTCTGCAAGATCAGAAAGTACTCTTAAGCAATGAGGCATCTCTGGAGCCCCGAAAAATGAAACTTAGTAACTGAGTATAATACATACCCTCATTTGTTTTATGTTCACTCACCCTTTTAGAAACTATTATGGAATAATAATTACAAGAGGTAATGTATTTTGGTTTCAATGAACATTGACATATAAAAATGACTTTCTCTTTTTTTCAAGACAGGAAGGGTTTCTCTGTGTAGCTTTGGAGCCTGTCCTGGAACTTGCTCTGTGGACTAGGCTGGCCTTGAACTCAGATCTGCCTGCCTCAGTTTCCCAAGTGCTGTGATTAAAGGTGTGTGCCACCACCGCCAAACTAAAAATGACTTTTTTGATACTACTATCACCTTTTGATATTTCTGAGTTGGTTAATAAAAAAATGATTTTAAGCAATACTTAGACCATGATCATGTCAAATGAGGTACTAAGGGCACGGTTTAGTTGGTAGAGTGCTTCCTTCATAGCATGAATGCGTTCCTGGAGTCATTCACATCCCAAGCACCATATAAACAGGACATGGTGGTACATGTCAGTAACTGTAGCACTTGGGATGTGAAGACAGATATGAATTTAAGGTCATCCTAAGCTACACATGAAGTTGGGAGACCAGCCTCAGACATCTAAGACCCTGTTCTCAAAACAAACAAAAAATTAGAAAAGAACAAAGTTGAGTATGGTGGTGCACATCTTTATAGCACTCATGAGACAGAGGCCCACGGAGAGCTAAGTCTAAGGTCAGCCTGATCTACCTGTTGAATTCTGGGCCAGCCAGGGCTACAGAGTGGCACCCTGTCTCAAATTAAAAAAGAAAAAAATTGTTGGATGATAAAAACAAGGCAGAAGTACTGACATATCAACTATCACACAGTTAAGAGGAAGAGCCAGCGGGCAATGGTGGCGCACGCCTTTAATCCCAGCACTCGGGAGGCAGAGGCAGGCAGATCTCTGTGAGTTCGAGACCAGCCTGGTCTACAGAGGAAGAGCCAGACTGAGCAGTAGCAGCGCACGCCTTTAATCCCAGCACTCAGGAGGCAGAGGCAGGCAGAGCTCTGTAAGGTTGAGGCCAGCCTGGTCTGCAGACAAAATCCAGGAAAGGCTCAAGTTAGAGAAACTGTATCGAAAACCAAAAAAGAGGTAGAGTCAGGATTCAAACTCAAACCTGAGTTAAGTCTTACCAAAAAAAAGTATTCTCTAGCCACTGACAAATCCCCTTCTCCTTCGTCCACCCTTTGCCTAGCACTGCTCATTAACTCTAACAGTTCGCCGGGGTAGGTCCTACTTTCCAGTGCGGAGCTCTCTCCAGCCAACCCCAGACCAAGCTCCCAAGCACTGCCATCTCAAACTTTATAGATACAGATTTAATTATTGAGTCAGAGGGAGACCTGAAATTAAGAGTTTTCAGAAGAAAAGGCCTTATTTTAGCATCTTTTTAAAACATAATTTAGATAAATATTAGCTTTCTGTGTACTATTTTATCTTCTCTATTACCCAAACTTCTATTAAATAACGCCAGTCCATAAATCTAGTAAATATATTTTCATCATGGCTTTACCATGCTACTTGTCCCTTGACTTGGCTTGATAGGACAAAATGCCTGGAGAACCAACAGATTGCAAGGACTCTGACACTGCTTAGCTGGGGACACAAGGGGGCTGTATAGAAAAGTAGCACACTTCTAGAGACCGGCTCCTCATTGATGGTCTCTCATTATCTCTATTTTAAGAAATGGAGCCCCAGCAAGCCAAGAGAATTTAAAACAAAAGCCAAACCTCTGAAGAGGGCAGGCGGATAAGGTTAGAAGTCTCTGTGTATGTCTTGTTCCAGGAATAAACCAACAAAACTTCTCCAATATGGCCAACATGTAGAGATGCTATGTGTAGAAGTTGAATGTTCTGAAGATGCGATGAAAATCCATTTCCCCAAAACACTCATTACATTTCTGTCCGCCCATTCACCAAACCCATCTTTCCCCAAGTTTTAAGAACTTAAAGCTCAGATATCGATAAAAAGCAAAGTATGAGTGGGTTATAGAATTAATAGAGATGAATAATTTAAATAAAGTTTTTTTTTAACAATCTGCAAGAGAAAAGAAAATGACAAATGATTTAGCTCTGTAGCTCCTTCTGGCTTGAATGAGAACCCTGAGGGCTGGGGCAATGAAGCATCAGGATCTAAAGATGGCCAACAGTTAGACTGATCCAATAAACCAAATCACTTTGAGTTTAGCTGTAAAAAAGATCAACACTGGCCCTGGGAATACATAAAGCTGGTTGGAGGGGGGAGATTGTTTTTGTTTTCTGCAGGAACCATGGAATTGTGACTGTGGCAGAACAAAGGCAGGAGGAAAAGGAAAATGACAGAGATACTACAAATACCTAGGCCACAATCAGGCCCTACATCCAACCCTCTACTCCCCCAGAGCAGTCACATCAAGTCTGTAACTTAGCTCTCAGATCATTCTACCATCACAGAGAAAAGTATTAAGAAACTTATCTTTCCATTCTACCCCCATTCTGAAGAGGAATGAATATGAGCAGCAAAGCACCTGAAGGCAAGGCGATGAGCAGAAAGAGAAGCAAATAAAAGACCTTTGACCCCAGTACTCCCTGACATTGACCCGTTAGCCACAAATAAGAACTTGTGAGTCTGAGGCATTTTTTACATGATGGGCAGAAGGAAGAAGACATTTGGGGCAAACTACTATCACAGCCAAGTTCCGATGATGCCAATGAAGGAGACAGAGACAACCCGCCCCATCTATTGTGCAGCTGCAATCACACGTGCACTCACATACCTTAATCCACCAAGCCCCAATGTCTCTAAAGCATCCTTCCCCAAGGAGTGTCAGGATTCTGTTATCACTCCACTTAACCAGTCTTTTATCTACCCATCAAGTTCAAACCTCCATTTTATCCCTGGTTCAAACTGCCCAGGTCTTCCAGCCCTCTTCCAGACAAGCTCTATATCAATTCTTTGCTCAATCTCAGCATTCCTTCTTGATTATGTTTGCACCCCAGCCACTTCTCATGAATGTTTTATAATACCTTCAGATATAAACCCAGCAAAAAGGTATCTAAAAACCATAATAGATGCAGACAGGTGTTGTGATGACCGAAGTTGGCAGGACACATGAAGGATGCTCCATGATGAAGTTCAACAGGCGAAGTACCACGATATGGTCAGATAGCCCCTTATGCTTCATATTTTCCTTGCCCCTCATTTCTCCAACCACAGGGCAGTACCGGATAGTGACATCACCTCCACTCCACTATGGCTTCTCTCTCAGGTCCCAGCCTCAACACTCACTCAAGCCTACTGCCTGGATTCATTAGCTTTGTCAACACTGGCGGCAGCCCATTACCCAATCCCAGTCAGATCTCAGCCTGAACCATCCTATAGGATTGTAGTTTTTGCCTTGTTTCCTGAACTGGGAAAAGGTCATGGACATTAGTCAAACATAAGCAGAGGAAAATGGGCATTGTTCTGAATATGTGATCAACTGAAACTGATCCGTCTGCTCTCCAGTTCTAAAGATGGCATGCCATTTAAGATGATAATGAACTTAACCCCACTTTCAAGCACCTTTCCATACCTATTCTGGGTCTTCAGGCTGCCTTTCTTTAGCTGTCATGTCTTCCTGGATGTCAAACTGGCTCACCTGACACTGAATGCAATCAAGACAATGACAACCAGGTTTCCAAACCACAAATCGCCCCAAGTTTTATTGTAGTCCATACAAAAGAGGAAAAAAAATTAAGGTTTCTAACACCACCTACTTGGGCAGATAGGGAATTGGGACTATGCCAGTCACCATCAGCTAAACTTCAGTGGCAAGCAGGGATCTGGACACATACCACCTGACTGTCCCAACCGGATCTCAGTCTCAATAGTCTCTACAGAGGACAGTCAGGGCCCCCTGGACTGCTGGCATAGGTTGGCCCACAGGAAATGGTTGAAGTAACCCTTTCCTGGCCTCCCTCACATCTAAAAAGAAAAACGCGCCGCCCGACATCAGCTGTAGGTTGTATGACCCTCCAAACAACCTCAAGTATCGCGCAGAAAAATAAAGGGAGCCAGGAAAAAAATAAAAATATAAAAGAAATGCCCATTCTGGGAAGATGGCAGGGTAGGGGAAAACCGCAGATCTAAAGCCAGTAGCAAGATGTGCTGCTGAGGCAAAGAAACAAAGCAGGCTACTGCCAAATACAAAATGGTCCTCTCCTGGGGAAGGCCCACATGGTAGAGGGAGGGGATGAAAAAATCACCATTGGGAGAGGTATGAAACAGGGTGGTGATGACCTGGGTCTGAACCCTACCCTACCTCTTCCTCTCTCTCCCTTCCTGTGGCGCCCCATCCCCAGGATGGCCCTACATGCGGCGCTGGTAGCCAGAATGCATCTGAGCTGCCCGCAGGTAATCATTATAGGAGCCCGAATAGCGTGCGTAATCGGAATGGGCATCGGGCAGGCGACGGTAATCCAGCGAGGACTTTGTCGGCGAGCGGCGGAACGAAAGCTGCGACTCTGATAAACGGCGGTAATCAGAGAGCTCGGCTAAACGCCGGTCGGAACCATACCTAGTCGAGAGAAGAAGACAGTTGGTAAATGAGACAGTTTACGGGAGGGCTCCAGGTGGGCCTAGGGGAGATGCCATTGGGGACAGGGAGGGTGTTATCAGATTTGTCTCAAACCATTTGGTTTCCTTGTCAGAAGGCTCATCATACTATCCAGGCCAAGAAATCAAACAAGGGTTCAAGTCAGCAGGAAACCAAGCCCTCTGCTGAAGCTCTCTCCCTTCCAAACTGGTCAAGGTGAATTCTGGTCTACATTCCCAAACAAACTATCCCCATTCATGGGCCCTGTACAAAAAGACCTTGGTTCATCAACAGAACGACGGAGGAGAAGCAGGGTCCCCAACTTCCCAGGGTGAACGCACCTCATAAGCTTGCCTTCAGCCAGTGAGTGCCAAAAGGACTACTCTTTCACATCTACCCCACCAAAACCAGGACAACAGGGAATGGGCTTAAGACAGTGGGAAAAGCTATGAGCCAATCCTACAGAAAGTGGCTCCAGTGGTACAACAGGCTATCCTAGAATGGTGACGTTTCCTGGTCCTAGGTTGTTGGTATCACCCCAGACTGAGCACTATGTTCCACCTAAACTCTGATGGCCAGAAATGTTCACTCACCCTCATGACCCTTGGACATCCCACAGAAGACCAAGTGAGGGGCCAATGGCTCCTGTTTCCCTCCCATGCCAACCTCAGCCCCTTGCCCTAAGCCCCAGCTGGGGGCTGAGGCGGGGGGGCATACAGTACCTTTTTGACATGGCGACAGCCTTTTTGTAGGGATCGTCGTAGCTGGCCCGGGGTGGGGAGAGGCGGGTACGCTCATAGGGCGGCGGGGTGCTGTTGGCGTTGGCAACGGCCCCCTGGGACATAGACAGGTAGGCTGCTGACGGCTGGCCTGTCCCATCGTAGGCACTGCCGGGCTGGCCACGGTAGGAGGCAGCAGCCTGGGGATGCTGCTGAGCAGCATACGAAGCAGCCAAAGAGGCTGACTGAGCGCGGTAAGGAGCTGCCAGGGTGGCAGAAGGCTGAGCCCCATAGGCAGCTGCTGCGCCATAGGAACCAGTGGCCGCAGCAGCAGACTGAGCTCCATATGAGCCTGACAGGCCCATTGATGCTTGAGCCCCATAACTATTCAGCTGGGTCTGAACAACTGGTTGAGCCCCATAGGAACCAGCCATTGGGGTAGTGGCTTGTGCAGCATAAGCAGCTGGCTGGCTAGCATAGGCAGCAGCTGTGGCTGGCTGTGCCACATAAGCAGCAGGCTGGGAAGAATAGGAAGCAGCCTGTTGGGCAGCATATGGGGCAGACTGGGCACTGTAAGAGGCTGAGGGCTGGGCACTGTAAGAGGCTGCCTGGGCTCCATAGGCCAGTGAGGAAGCTGCAGATTGGGCACCATAGGAGGCTGCCTGAGCTCCATAGGTACCTAGGGAAGAAGCTGCTCCCTGTGCGTTGTAGGAAGAAGCAGCCGCACGAACCCCATAGGAAGAGGCAGCTTGGGCGCCGTAAGAGGATGGCTGGTTACCATAGGAGGCGAGGGAGGATCCCTGAGCCCCATAGGAATTAAGCGAAGAAGCTGCAGCTGCCTGACCCCCATAGGTGGAAAGGGCTGAGGCTGAGGGCTGCGCTCCACCATATGGGCCAAGAGAGGAAGCTGCAGCAGACTGGGAACTAGGGCTAGCCAGCTGACCCCTGTATGGGGCCCCAAGGGAGACAGAGGGCTGAGCACGGTAAGAGGCTGCCTGGGCTGCCATGGGCTGAGTCCGATAACCAACACCCAAAGAGGCAGAAGGCTGGGCCCTATAGGCAGCTCCCAGTGACACTGAGGGTTGGGCACGGTAGGTGGCTGGCTGGGCCGTCAGGGGAGCCACATAAGAGGCTCGAGGAGGTGAACGGCGCAGGGGGCTGCGGTCGCGACCAAAGAATGGCGGTGTGGGCTGACGGGCTTGCCCATCAAAGCCACCAGTGCTGTTGCCAAAAGCCTGTTGGTAGTCGAAGGTGGCAGAGAAGCCACCAGTTCCAGGGAATGCTGTATCCCCAGCCCCTGGTTTCTTGGTCTTGTCCCCAGACTGGATAGCCAGGGCAGGCCCCTTCTTCTGCCCCTTGGTTGAGAGTTCCACGTTGATGCGCTTGCCCTTCACTTCCTTGCCGTTGAGCTGCGCGATGGCGGCTTTGGCATCTGCTTCCTTCTCCATGTGAACAAACGCGTAGTCTGATAAAGCAGCAGACAGAGGGTTAGCAATTAGGGGGGCAGGGCATGCTACCTGTTGGGTCCCAAACTGGACACACAACAGCACCCAGCTGTTGCCAGCTACAACCAGGCCTCCAAACCCTCCTCTACATGAGTATGCCATGAAATGTGGCTGATGTGTAACAAAGCTTTTGACTGTCTCAAGCAGTCATTTGACTACGGCCTTCTTCCCTGTCCCCCTGTCACCTCAATCAACTAACTTTCTGTGAAAAAAGAAAAGCAAAAATGAACAATGCAGGATAAAAATCTTCACAGCTTCTATAAATATAAACCAGCAAGCAAATACACAAAGTATTTCTAGATCACTCAAATACTCATTGTTCTCAATTCAAGCACATCTAATAACTAGCTACTTAACACTCACCTCTGAAGCTAAGAGCTTAAAACACTAGAAACCACCACTCACAATTTGGCATGACTCACTTCTCTGTCTAGGTCCAAAGCAGAGTGACTGCAAGAAGCAAGCATTCACAGAATTCCTGCTAGGAAATCTTCCCCTTTCCATATTACTTTCCAGTTTTCACACCCACTTTCACATCCAGGACCTCTCAACAATCCTGGGAGGCAAACTTTTAGGCAAACAGGTTCCAAGTTTCTATGAGGCTTGCTGTAAATCAATTTATTAACGCCAGGACCAAAGCCCCAGCTAGCTCTTCCATGCCCGTTTCATCCCGGAGGTCCATGGACAGGATTGTGTAGTATAACTAAAAACGTTAACTTGCACAGAAGCTAGACCCTATGAGTGTCAGTAAGATAAGGGAATGGAATCAAGAGTCCACATTGCTTTCTCTGTTATTTCCTCTTCAAGGGAAAGAACACATTCCTCTTAAAAGACTGTTTGCTGAATTTTCAGGTTTACCCTTAAAGGGCACTTGCTTTATTGGGAGGGGAAAGCGTAGGGCCAGGGACTGAACATACGAAGGGCCTTACACATGCCAGTTCATGACTGAGCAACATCACCAGCCACCTACCTAGGTTCTCTCATTAAAGACTTGAGTAAATTGTGTTGGGAAGAAGTCTAAGACAGGATATTGATCTGAGAACTCTAATCATCTACAACATAGGAAAAATCTTAAAGGGGAAGAAATTCTTGATAACACCCATACCACGAACCGTAATAGTGCCATCAAGAGGATATAAAGAACAATGAAAGGAACCTAAGGTTTTGCCCCTAACTCCATTTTGGACCTGTGGTTACTTTACGTAAATTAAGAGGCAGAATCCAATCTCTGTCATATCAGTGCAAGAAATGAGGAGTTATCTGGATGGAATTACTAAAGGCTATTATCTACTATAAAATAGATTACTGTGAATGGCCTCCCAACAGCCATCCTTACTTTTAGGACTTCATTCCAAGATGCTTCTCTAAGCTATTCCTTCCTACAGAACAAGTCATTTACTGGATTTGAAAACAATGCCCCCTCCCAAAAAGTAAAAGGCAAAAAGCCAAGTACAATATAATATCAAGGATTCTGGGCTACACTACAAGGCCCAGCTTTAGATCCATCATCACTGATTTGTTAGGTGATCTTAAAGAACTTACCATTTATTCCCCGTTGGAAAAATTTATACTACTAACCTCAAATTAGAGGTCAAGTAAGAAGACAGAAATGCCTTGTGAGGTATAAATGGCTGCAAGATAATGGAGAATTATGACAATTCTTCCAATTGTCATAATTCTAACCAGAGATTTATTTCCCTAGAGAATATTTTTCATTTAATAAATCATAATGCCACATAAACTTGAAACCTGCTTAATACGACCAAAGAACAAAATGAAGCTGGAGAGCTGGACCAGCAGTCAAGAGCACTTGCTGCTCTTACAGAGGACCCAGGTTTGGTTCTCAGCACCCACATGGGCAGCTCATGATCACTTTCTGTTCCAAAGAATGCCACACCTTCTAACTGTGTAGGCACATATATGCAGGCAAAACATTCATACACATAAAATAATATGGGGGGGTCAAGATGGGGTCTTATTATGTGACTCCAACTGTCTTGAAACTCACTGTGTAGACTAGACCAGGCTCATCTCTAACTCACAGAGATTCCTCCCCCATCTCTGTCTTCTGAGTATGGGATTAAAGGTGTTCACCATTATGCCTGGCTTAATTTTTAAGAACAAGATGAACACCAAGCTTGATGTTCCTAGTTTAACAAATGCTAGTCTTCAATGATCCCATGGTCAAAAGCTGACTTTTTTAACAATTATGAAAGGCTAAATGTTACTTTCCACCTAGCCACAGGGTATTTGAATTGTCCTTTGATTGCTGATCTCTAGTTTAAGTTGATCAGCTAAAAATAGCTGTTGTGGACTAAGATATCTTTAAAAACAGAGAGGCCAGGTGTAGTAAAGCTTGTCAAAACTCCAGCACTCAGGAGGTGAGAGACAGAAGGTGAGTTAGAGGTCAACAAGAGCTACAAAGACACTGGGGAAAAAAAGAAAAAAGAAAAAAGAAAAAAAAAAAGCTGAACTCACCTCAAGAAAGACAAAGGTACCAGGGAAATGCAGTGACAAGCAGAAACACCCACCCACTCAAAAGAAAACATTAAGGTTAGCTGGAGCTTCAAAGTAGATAGGGGAGAAGGTGAGGTAGAAAGAGACAATCAAACAACAGGAAGGACAAAGGAACCTTCCTGCATTCTTGATTTTTGTTCACTACGTAACCCTGGCTGGCATAGACCAGACTAGCCCTCAACTCCTAAGAGATCTGCCTGACTGACTAGCAAAATGCTGGAATTAAAGGCAGCTCAGTGGGTGGAGCATGGACCGCTCACCCATATCAAGTGGTTCACAACTCCGTTAACTCCAGCTCCAGGGGATCCAAAGTACTCTAGCTAGACTCCACATACACACATAATTAAAAAAAAATAAATCCAAAAAGTAAATAAATAAAGGCATGCACAAACATGACCACCCACCTGTTTCCTTATCCTATTCAAATGAGCTAGGAAAAACACCTAAGAAAAATTTCAATGGATTTACAAGAGAAATTACATCTCCCATCATCTATACCTTATACTTGGTTTTGAGTTTAGCAGATAAAGTGCTGCCCAGCATATGACAGTAGTAACCCTGTAACCCTAGCAATCAGGAGGAAAGGCAAGGAGGACCAGACATTGAAGGGCAATCTAGAGTCTCAGTGAAGCCCTGTCTCAAAAAAAAAAAAAAAAAAAAAAAAAAAAA